AATGAAAGGTTTGCAAGAAAAGAGCCAAGCTCAGAGAACCCCAAGGACTCCACAGTTCAACCCTGAGCGACACATATTCACCTCTATTGCTATCAGGTTTAGTTCTTCAATGGGCCTTTAAGACAATGGCCATGAGTTTCATACTTGTGTCGCAACCGCTTCACTGATGTGCAACAAGCAACTTGGATGTTGGGCTGAGTTGCTACAGAATCAAAAATGCAGAGTGAGCCTTTTGGGGTGGGCTGGGGTGGAGGAAACAGATTATGCTAAAGCTCCTTCTGGTCAAGTTCATTTTTTATCTACACAGCTAGCTGAGGGGCCCAGTGGCAGAACTGAGGGTGAGCCCCAAGGGCAGCTGAGATTAGCCAGGAGGTGGGTGGGCTGGGGTGGGGTGGGAAAGAACCGCAGAGCTGCAGTGGAGTGGCAGAACTCTCGTTTTGGACACCCGAAGCCCCGATGTGCCATAGGCAACTGCCAGGTGGCACTCAATACTGAGCTAAAAGGCCCAGTGATCTGATTTTGCACGAAAGGAGCTTTCTGGGTCCTTCAGAATACCTTTTCAACTCCGAAGGCCTCGATTTAACACTCCAGTAACAATGCTAATAAGCAGGAAACAGTGGATATCCTGCCCAGCCAAAGGAATTCTGAAGCCTGGTCAATTACAATGTCAGGAAACGTGTTAAGCTTTTACCAACAAAACATTGGAACCTAAACTTCCATTTCCAAGTCTTCTTCTGGACCACTGGTTTCCTTCTTAGATTTCCTAAACATGGTGTGCGTGTCTCTCTGTGTTAAGTGCAGCTCCTGAAGGAAGGATTCCTTTGCCTGGGGACAAGGCAGGAGAGGGCCCTCTCCCCGTGGCAGGAGGATGGACCTTTAAGGAGTCTCTCCTGTTACTTGGGACAGGCAGGCAGGTCCAGAATGGAGAGGTGCTTTCTTGGGCACTCGGGCCCCAAACCAGGTCAGCAGCCCCCTTAAGTGGTGCCCAGGAAGCAGCTGGGAACCAGGGCAGACTTTTCCAGAAAGGAATCATGTGGACCCTGTTCCTAGCAGTGGTTAGACAGACCGAGCAGCCTTGGGCCCAACTCTGTACCCTTTCGAGGAGACCGAAATAGCTGTTGGCTTGTTTTCTGCACTGATGTTTCAGATGTTGACGCAACTCAGACAGAGATCTTTAAAAAAACAATCAACCTCCCAAACCCTGAACATGCAGGTGTAGTGTGTGTGTCAGTGTGCGAACCCAAGTGCAGACAGGGGTGGGGAAACAGGGAAGCCGTGCATCTCACCTTCTGTAAAACAAAGCATCACTCAAACTCCTCGACAGCATTAGGAAGAACAGGAAGTGTTAAAGGTGGTTAATCTATTTCATTAAGAACGATTAGGTTACAGAAGAACAGCTTAGATGGGGGGGGGGAGAGAAACATCTGCCCAGCTGCAAAACTTTTATGTTCCCCCCCTGCAGCCCTTTGGTTTGCCCTGAGCAACAGCTGCCAAGGAAATGGCCCTGCTAGCCGTCAACAAGCAGCTGAAATGCCCAGGAGTCAAAATCTCACTCAGGCAGAATTCCCACCGCCGCTCTTTGTTATTTTCTCATTTTCACCCTTTCACATTTATCACGGGGGAAGAAAATAAATTGCTTCATGCTTTTTAGTTCATAATACCCACCGATTAGAACACTCTTCATTCCCCGAACATATTCTGTGCTTTATTTTACACAGACCTCCCTCGACATCAGTTAAATGGCATTTCACCCAATGCATCACCCGGGCGTTCAAGCGAGACAGTAAAGGCGAAATAAAAGGAAACCCCACTTCTGCAGCAGAGGGGATCGGGGGCTCTACAATCGAGCTGCCCAGCACACGAGGCAGCCAAGCCCCACGCTTAGGCGAGTGTGAGGCCCAAAGCGGGACCTCACGTTATCCCGTGGTCAAGCTGAACTTGTGCTGAGCAGAGTTTCTCCAGGGTTTGTTCCAGGGTAACCTATGTGGACCTGGCTTCTGGGGACATCGGAGTCTGGGGAAGGGGCAGGCCCCCTCTGGCCCCTGGGAGAGCTGGAGAGAGTTCAGAGCGCTGCAGCCGCCCTGCTTCCATCTCTTCTCCTCCTGCTGCAGGTACGAAACTACCAGCAATGGTGGCCATCCGTTTCCTCCTTCCTCTCGATGACCAAGTCTGAATTATAATAAGCAGATGAACCAGTTCCAAATCAGGGTTTGGCTGGGGTGGGAGTGGGGCCAGGTGCATGTGGGAAGTTCCTGGAGACCACGTCCTAAGGCAGGCCAACCTCTGTGTGGCAACATATGTTCCTGTTTTCTCCTCACTTTATTCTAAGCAAAGGAGGGTAAGAAACCTGAGCAGAGTTTCTTCCATCCATCATCGCTCAACGTCCTCAGACAGATGACATTAAGGCTTGTCCTCAAACCACGCGGCTGGTCTCTGTCTCCCTGAAGAAATGAAGAGCGCCTAAAAGCTGCCTCTGGCGCCTTCCCCTGCTTGGCACTGATGGCAAAGACCGCAGGAGCGGCCGCAGGACCCTCTTCTGCCCACGCTGGCCTGCCCACCACTAAACTAAACATCTGCTCCACGTTCAGAAATAACTGTGGGAGGAAGAGGAAGCAAATGAGCGGTGTCTGGTGGGAGGGAGGGAGGGCAGCAGTAAGTCCCCTCAAGTTGAAGGAATAAAGAAGAGCGGGGACTGATCTCTCAAATAGGAATGTAATTAAAAGACGACAGGAGAACAAAAGAACAATTTTGAGGTGCTGAACTCCTGCAGGAAACTCAGACCCAGCCCGATCCAACTGCCATGCCAAAACAGCAGGATGGGTTTGTGATTCTTGTATCTGCATTTAATGAGTTACTCTAAAATACGTATATGGAGAGGCAGAACGTAAGTCCTCAAACGCCACCGGAAAGTCCTCTGCCCGCCCCTGCTGGTCTGCAGCCTGCACCCACCTTCCAGCTTCTGGTTCTCCTTCTCCATCCGGAGGAGCAGGATTTGCTGATGGATCGCTTTTCTCCACAGGCTCTGCAGCTCCTCCGAGTTCTTCTTCTCTCCAGCCTTATCTTGGGCATCCTCATTTTGCAACATGGAAACCAGGGGAGCTTCGTCAAACGACGGCGGAAGCGGGGACAACGGCAACAATTCGTTTCCATCGCACCCATCTGGAAAGAACCGCTCGGTGAACTGCGGATTCGATAAACGTGATCGGGCATCTGAACTTGAGGACTGCTTTGAAGAAACGCAGCCAGCCCAACCCTAACTGTGCATTATGGTGGGTGGTCATATCCACCCCTGTTACCCTGGTGCTACTCTTCCCCTACCCCAGCCCCTTGACCCACAGGGCAGAGACCCGAACGAACACCTTCTGGAATTCGGTTTATGCTGCAAAGTCCCTAATGCCGTGCAATACACAACCTTCAACCCTGTGCCCCAAACCAGCAAAACTGTATCCTGTTCAGAAAACGGAAGAGAGGAAGAATACGCATTACAGTATTCTGGAGTTCAGATTTTGTTATTCTGGATTTTTTTGACCCCAAACGCAGAGTTTCTTGCCATGCAATACTGATTTTTCATGCAAGAAGGAGCCACTCTCTCACCCTTGGCACCCCCAATTGGTACTGACACAGACAATGCATTTTAACACCCAGCCACACTTATCGCATGCCGGACATTAAGGGATGTTCTTGACTCTTCTGTAGTGCTGCTGAACCAACAGATCCAGTCAACCATGCAAAAGGGATTTATAATTGTGCCTGAAGAGGTCTGTAGCAGGATCCTTTATTTATCATAATTCAGGCTCTGAAGTAGCTGGAAATAAAATCAAAGAGCACAAACCTTTCTCTCCTGGCCAACAGCCATTCAGAGGTATGTGTTCATGGGAGGCCAAGTGCCAAACTAGGGCCCCCTTTCAATATAGCATCCAAACAGCTGTTAGGACCTTCTGCTGGCAGAAGCTGTGGGGTCAATGCGATTATGGGCACGTGCAGCAGAAATGCAGACAGTGACCGTTTTTCCTTTATTACCACAGAAAAGGGACAGACATAAATTCTCCCATGCTTTACATTTTAGCAAGAAACACAGAACAAGCATTTATCCATTCTCTGCGGGTCAGTCCAGAAGTAAATCTAAAAGCAGCTGAGTTTAGATGGTGCTAACATTTCCTGCTAAGCCAAAGCCAGAACAGTTCCAGGTGCATTCGAGCAGGTATTGTAAGCAGAAAAAAGAATATTTACATCATGCCTGGAAGAGGTTTAGCGTGTGCTGGACCTTATTATGTCAAAGCTGCAGAGAAGCTACTCTCTCGCCATTCCTTAATCTAGAAGCTACTCAAAACTTTACACGAATGATTGGCAACTGCCCATGCCCCAGGAAAAGGCTAGAAGTAATAATGTTAATACAGTATAGTATATAATATTATCATCTCTTACATAAACATACCATCTAAAAGAACCTGCAATTAGCTACAACAACTTAATTGGGTGACGAAAGCATCTTGACAGCAAGAAAAGATCCCAATCTTAAAAGCTGAACATTCATCTCAACTTCTTATTTCCCCTTCGAGATACTTGATGACTGGCACATAATTGAATGTATTTGATCTAAATAATGGTTAGGAATTTTGACTCCCAAGTGAGTTTTGAAATTTTGACTTTTGAAATTTTAAGTACAACCAATCCTAAAGAGTATCACCTTCCTCGCTTTCAAACAATATTAAAACGCCGGAAGAGAGATTGTGAACGGCTGACCCACAGACCTGTGCTGTTTCTTGGACCGTGGCGCTGCCTACCGAGGTCCTGGAGAGCTGAAGGCCCAGTCTTCGGCAGAAAGTCCCTGGCCTTATGAAGGGAAGAAACTACCATTCATTGCATCACTTTGGCGAGGACCACTAAGTGGTCACCTCTGAAACAGCGCATTAGAAGAAGTCAGTCGTGCACTTAGGCCGGCAGCTTACACCAAGGTAGCCAGCTAATCAACATCCAGGAGGCTAATTAATGGAAGAACACTTCCATTTGGGACCTAGATGTTAATATCCAAGAGACAGCCATCTTTGAAAGAGAAAAGGAAACCCAGCAGGCGCTGCCTGAATCGTTTTCCCCAAGTCGGCACAGACCTTGCAGTTGCATTGCTGACGGGGATTTCTTCACGGGCGATGCCACCCTCAGGAAGATCCTCTGCCGCCAGGAGATCCGACGGGGGGCCAGGGCGAGCCCGCCAGCCTTTACGGAATCGCTGCTGCACACGGAGGAAGTCCTCTTCCTCTTCTCCACATCGCTGTAGGAAGGACCAGGATGAAGAAACGCAGGTCACTGAAAGCAGTCCTTCGGGCGAGCGCTTAGCCGTGGCCCATCCAAAGCCACCAGGAACCTTTACGCACCCAGGGTTGCTTCCTACCACCAGAATCAGGGCTTCCCAGGGCTTCCAGTCGGGGCCCTGGACTCACCGGGGCCCAAGAGCGCCTCCCCATGGCAACTATGAGAAAAACATGCTTGCCGCCCCCTTCAGAGCCAGAAACCTTTCCGTACCCCTGGGAAACCACATGCCAGGCTCCCTCGAGTCCCCGAACCCTGGAATTAGTGAAAATGCACTAATGGCCTGCTGGCGATACTGAAGACGGAAGATGGCACTGCAATTAGGGAGAAAACCTCCAGAGACGCTACCAAATCTGGGGTGATTTCTCACCCATCCCTCCTGTCCGCCCACCCTGAGGCTCTTACACTGGCGATGGCCTCATCCTTTTACATAAAGGAAGCTACATGAGACAGGTCAGGCACCATTAATGAAGGGGGGGCTCAAAATAAGCATGTGAAATCTCCAAAAATCATTGGGGATGCAGGACGTTAAATAAAAAAAATCAAGGTTTTGCTATTTCTGCAGTTACCAGTTTTTGCAGTCTCTACCCATTTTTTATTGATCAACAAACACAAGGTAAAGGTGGCCTCAAGGATGAAAGAGAACCCCCTCCCCAAAAAAACCTTACTTTTCCTTTGTACCTTTTCCACCAATGCACAAAAAGGGGGAAATGGGCACACTGTGGGCGCCTGTGAAAGGAACCGCACCTCCCGGATTGTTTGGGCAGCTGAGACCAACTGAAACGCGTGTGGCTGATGGTGGAACGACGCTGGAATCAAAGTGGGATGGATGAGAATTAGGGGGTGCTCTTCCTCCTTTGGGAGGGGTTTTTAAAAGATGTTTGAAGTCTAAACAAACACCTGCTTTAGATGTTTTCTGCTAACATGCTTCTGCTTGTGTGCCACGTCATGACACACTCGCTCACCTCTGATGTAGAAGTGAAGCTGGTGACCATAGGAACACGCCCAAGCAGTTTGGGATGGAGAGCGGTTTGCCACTGCGCTCTTCCATGGTGTTCTCCTCAACTCTCAGTCCAGCCTATAGCTCAGATACTCTGGGGCCTTCTTCCACCCAGGCCCTAACCATGTCCATCTCTGCTCAGTGCCTGAACCCAGACAAGGTCAGCCAGCTGCTGAGACTACTATGAAGAACTCTACTAAATTCTTAGCGTTTACGGGCCAGGGCACCGTCCAACCTATTTCTCCCTTAGCCAGCCTCCAAATGCCACCTGTAAAATCAGGTTCTGGCAGGAAGTTCTCTCTTCTATCCATTGTCCTTCCTCTAAGAAAACCTGCCATAAGATGAAATATATATTTAAATTAAAATACAGGTGATCCTATTTCAGGCCAAATTTTAGCTTTGGAAACGGCAAGTATTTTGTTTTTTCAGTACTTTAGCACAACTTCATGTACTTGAAATTAGTATATACACAAACACAGCATTTCATTTTTCAGTACTAGAGCTAACACACTTCCTATAAATAGGTCCCAGACCAAAACTAAAAAAGGAAGTGATCTTAACTAATGAGTTAAAAAGGAGGAGGAATACATGAGTCTGAAGCACAGCATTTTCTCTTTTAAAGTAAACTGCAAGAAAGCATAAGAAGAGAAACACCTTCTTTGGTAATTTAAAAGGTAGCCTTTCTCTTTCTCCTCCTTTCTCAAGGGAAATGCAGAACATAAATAAATATATGATTAAGAATAAAGCAATTAACTATTGCTAAACAACCGTCTTAAAAATCTGCCTCTCCTGCAGTTACAACTATTTGAAGTCCAACTATCTCATAAAAGTTTAAATCTTTAACAGCCAAAGAAATGGTTTAGCCAAAAAATGCAAACAGCCCACGAGTCCTAAAAAGGTTACAAACAGCAAACTTCCAAAAAGAGAATTAGCAGTATCAACATTTGGTTTTAAATTACCCCTGAAGCTATAATTCAAACAAGCATTCAGATCAGCTCTCCTGGAAGTTAAATATGTTTACAGTTTAATCATTCTCATTTTTCCTCCAGCAATACAAAAAAGTCTTAATACTTTTTAACGTAATGCAAAACATTCCTGCTTTTGGGAATCTGGATCATTTTTTAAAAAATCAGTATTAAATAAGACAGCAAAACCATTAATGCATTATGATAGTAATTACAATTGTCTTTGACTACCACACGGCTCATCCATCGGCACGACCCGTTTGCATCTTTATCCTTGCGCAGGTACGTAAGAGGCACAAGGAATTTCCAGAGCATTAGCCCTGCTTTATCTCAGACAGCTACGAGACCCTGCTGTAAGAGCATGTACTGTATTCCTACCTGCCAACTCCCAAGGGGGAGATTTCTACAGAACTTCGTTATCAAAAATATACAATACTTACAAAGCCTCTTCCTTCTTCCTGTTTATGAACTTCACACTGAGCTTCTCCAAAAACAAAGTGGGATTTCCTGCCACCCCCCAAAGACCTTTGCAGCCACGTTTCACGACTGACACCCCAAATTATGTTGTCATCTTTCTGTGTGTAACGGGAACGCTCCTAATTGGATCCAGCTGACCCAAGAGAAATCTTTATGCTGATGCCCAGTATTAACATTTGCATTCTCTACTCTGAATTTGAATCTGCTTTCAGTTCAACTTCTCTTTTCCTTGAAAGAAATGCATTAAATTAAGGCATCAGACCCAGGCCTTAGCCGGCACCCTCTGAAATTAGTCAGAAAACCAAAACGTGCACATGCATTGGAGAAAAACGGCACACACATATTCACTGAACTTGATGTAAGGAGAATTATTCACAAGCACATGAAATGAAAACATTTCTCCCCAAGCTGCCAAGTTAGCACCAGCTTTACTTCACCACCTGGCTGGTTTGGAGATCTGCCTCATCCCCTTGCACTGGGTCAAGCTGCAGGAGAATCACGCGTGTGCACCTTTTGTGATCATCCTAAAGCCACAGAGGAACGCACGGACCTTTAGTTCAAAACTTAGGTGGGCGTCAAGCGTTAGCGAGTCCAACTACTCAAGGCTGTTGCAAATTGCAAACATCGTGTGACTCCAAGCTTTGTCCTCCCAGACAGGACGGATCAAAGGCTGCGTGTGGGGCTTTGCACTTAGTTTGGAAGAGCTGCTCCCAAGGATGCAAGAGGGCTCTGCTTTTCAGCTCCTCCATGCTCCCGGGAAGGTGCAGCAGAACCCTCTCTGTGCAGTCCAAGCCCCTCTTCCAAGCGGGACCCCAGGCCCTGCGCTGCCCCAGTGAACAGCCCTGGGCACTCCGTGGGGCTTCTCAAGGTGCTACAGCAGTGTTTCTCAACCTTGGCAACGTTAAGATGGGTGGACTTCAACTCCCAGAATTCCCCAGC